TTCTTCTTCTTCTTCTTCTTCTTCTTCTTCTTCTTCTTCTTCTTCTTTCGTCTTCTTCTTCTTCTTCTTTTTTCCTTTTTCCTTTTTTTAAATTTTTTTTTTTATTATCATCTTGAGAAAGCATGCTGCTACATGACCAGAACGTATACCGAAGTTTCGTCCCACATTCACCAAAGAGGCTTGAAGCCATTCAGGAAAGATTAGTATAAGAAAGGTTAAAGAGGGGCACCTGGGTGCCTCAGCTATTAAGTGGCTGGCTGCCTTCAGCTCAGATCATGATCCCAGAGTCCTGGGATCGAGCCCCGCATCAGGCTCCCTGCTTGGAGGGAAGCCTGCTTCTCCCTCTCCCACCCCGCCGCTTGTGTTCCCTCTCTCGCTGTGTCTCTCTCTGTCAAATAAATAAATAAATCTCAAAAAAAAAGGTTAAAGAATTAGAAATAAAGATGAAAATCTAGGAATAGATATAGGTGTATTACCTTTAAATAAAGAGATCTAGCCAGAGTACTGTTTTGTCATCTGATTTTTTTTCACATAAAAGCATATAATTTACATGTTTATATATCATTAATTGTTTCTCCATGACATTGTGTTTCTTTGTTCTTTTGTTTTTCTTATTTTTAGCTGAATAACATTCCAGTGTATGGATGTAGTTCCTCTTCTTCCTCTTCTCCTCCTGTCCCTCCCCACTCCTCCTCCTCTTCCTCCTTCTACTCCTCCTCCTTTCTTCTGCTTCTTCTTCCTCTTCTTCTCCTTCTCCTCCTTCTTCTCCTTCTCCTCCTCTCTTCCTCCCTCCCCCTCCTTTGTCTTCTTCATCTTCTTCCTCCTCTAGCTCCTCCTCTTCTTTTGTAAGTAGGCTCCAAGCAAAGTGTGGAGTCCAGGATAGGGCTCAAACTCACAACTTTGAGCTCAAGACCTCAGCTGAGACCAAGAGTCAGACATCTAACAGACTGAGTCACCCAAGTGCCCCTGGATGTATCTCTTCTAATTCTGCGGGGCTCAATTCATGTTTCTTAAGGAATTCTCGATAGTCATTTTTAACAAGACTCTTTCCTTCCTGTACTTTCCAATCCATAGCTATTTAGGTTACCTTAACATTTTTGCTATTATAATGAATGAAGCAATGAGAAGGGTATAGTGAATTCCTAGGAAAAGTCTGTATTTATCTCCCAAGTATAAATTCTAAGAAGTGGGTCAAAGTCTATGTCCATTTTGAGGCTTATGGCACATGGTGCCTCTCAAGAGGTTTTGTGGACCTCCACGTGTGTGCGAGTGTTGATTGATCCACAGCTTCACCAGCCTTGGAGAGCATCGCTTTAGAAAAATCTTGACCAATTTGCCAAGCAGAATGACTGTTACACTGGGGGTGGCACAATCAACGTCATTCTGAATTAATTGAAGGAAAAGTAAGGTTTGAAGGCTTTTACACATTAAGTCCCCAGATTCAGAAAAGGCACGACATAAGGCAAAAACATAAGGAAACAGTTGCCAGAAACCACATAGGTTTTGAGGGATAGAATGCACAAAAGGAATCCACTTAAGATTTGTATAACTTCAGGGGGAAACTTAGAATCTACTGGAAAAGGTAAGAACAAGGACTATTTCAACTCACTCTCACAAATAGGTGGGTCGTCATCCCAGGTGACAGTCTTGCCTGAGATGATGCATGCAATAGAGGTCTTACCAATAAGTCGGTATCTAGAGGGAAAGAAGAATGAATGTTATTTTCCCACTGAAGTGGCTACTTACAAGAGAGTGTATCCCGGAGAATTCAGAAGGACAATTTCCATTTGTCATAGTGTATGACATGGTATATACTTTGTATGTGTATATATATGTACATATATGTATACATATACTACGTATACATATTACATGACATAGTATATATATATATCACAATTTGTGACAGTATACTACCACTTTCCCAAATTTTAATCTTTATTCGGATGTCTAAGCTAAATGGGTCCTCTGCTCTTAATTACACTGAGCTACCTTTTAATTTAAGCCTAACATGTTTAAGATTCTTCAAACTAGAACCAAAGGAAATCCAAGCAGAACAAAACAAGGTGAACACGGATTTCCTATGTAAAACGTTAAAGGCAGCAATTCTCACTTAGTATGCCACAAACTGTTCAAAGTGTGCCATAAGACTTGGAAAATGTAAATTTCTCCCATGGATAATGTCTTGCAAAACTGTAGTAAAACATTAAAACCAGGATTCTGACATAGGTATGATCGCCAATTTTATTCGGACTTCCTCAGTTTTGTTTGTACTAATTTGTGGGTATGTGAGTGTGCTTACAAGTATTCAGTTTTTATACAGACTATATTTAAGAGCTGTTCTGGGTTCATGGTAATATTGGCCAGAGGATACAGGGGATTTCCCATATACTCCCTTTCCCTACACATGCATTCCTTCCCACATTATCCACATCCCCCACCAGACTGGTATAGTGGCTCGCAACTATGAACCTACATTGACACATCATTATCCCCTGTAGTCCATGGTTTACAGCAGGGTTCAGTCTTGGCGTTGTATAGTCTGTGGGTCTAGACAAACACATGTTGACATGGATGCACCCTAACAGAATGACACAGAGTAGTTTCACTGCCCTAAACATCTTCGGAGATCTGCCTATTCGTCTCTCCCTCCTCCCACCCCTTGGCTACTACGGATCTTTTTACTCCATATTTTCTTTTGTAGAATGCCACTTCCCTGGAATTATACAGTATTGAGCCTGTTCAGACTGGATTCTTTCACCTAGTAAAATGCAATTAAGTTTCCTCCCGGCTTTCCATGGCTTGATAGCTCATTTATGTTATCCAGGGAGGGTTAACCAGTTTCTGTTCCTATCAGCAATGAACGAGTAATCCAGTTCCTCTACAACCACGCTAGCATCTGCTGTTTTCACTAGTTTGTATTTTTGCCACTCAGATATATGTGTCATATTGTTTCACTGTTGTTTTCATCTGTATTTTCCTAAGGGCTAATGAAGCTGAATATCTTTTCCTGTACTTACTTTCCATCGATAAACTCTCTTCAGTGAAATGTCTGTTCGTGTGCCTCCAAATTCCTGTCCTGAAACCTTAGAATCTGACTTTTTTTGGAAACACGGTCTTGCAGATATAAGAGAGTTAAGATGAGGTCATACTGGATTAACATGGGCCCTAATGCAATGACTGTTGTCCTCAGAAGAAGAAGGAAATCTGGACAAGGAGACAGACAGAAAACGTTGACACAGACAGAGGAAAAGCCATGTGAGGACAGACGCAGAGGTAGGAATGATGTGTTTATAGCTCATGATGCCAAGGACAGCTGACAAGCACCAGAAGCTAGGAGAAAAGCACGAAATGGATTCTTCCTCCGAGCTCCCAGTAGGAACCAACCTGCTGACACCTAGATTTCAGACTTGTTCAAGGCTATTCCTAACTTGCTGTGAGTTTCTGTCACGAATTGACACTGGATTTTGCCAACTGCATTTTCTGTCAATTGCTAGGGGCATATATTTTTCTTCTTTAGCCTGTTTATAGAGTTGATCATGTTGATTGACTTTTGAATGTTCAATCTATCTTAAAAATTTTTATCCTACTGGGTTAAATCCATTAAGATCCATCTGAATTTCTTTTGTCCATCTTTTTCAGGTCAAGATTGAGTCATTGGGCTACAATGCTAGCCCTTTACATTTTCCCCTTAACTTCTAGCTTTCTATATTGATTACACAAATTCATAAGTGAATGGGATCACATAAATTCAATGTATTATTGACTATATTTGCAAATGCAAATTTGTTGAAATTTTCTTACATCCATGTGTTGCAAGCAGGGAGATAAATGTAGGGATTAACTTTTGCATTTCTCAAGTATACAAGTTAAAATTTCCAGAGGAACTTCTTAGAAATAGAGCCTCTATTTTCCAAGCTAGTGAAGGACAGAATGGAAAAAGAATAGAAAACCTAATGAACACAAAAGTTGAGGAAGTGTGAAACTATAAAATTGGTATAAATAGAAACACAAAATCAGGTAGTAGGCATTAATTTTAAATATTAGTAGTTACATTAAAAGCAAATGGATTAAACTCCTTAGTTAAAAGGTAGACATTATCAAACTGGATGAAGGAAATCTAACTATTGATTATTTATCAGAGACTCGCCTAACATAGAATGATACAGGAGAGTAAAAAGTCAAAAGATTTAAGGAGAGTGGGTAAATAATCAAAAAGCAATGTAGTTATATTAAATATATAATAGGAGTATAAGTGTACACACAAATAGACTAACTGAAAAGCATTATTAGAAAGAAGGAGCAAACCACTACAATAAGTTTTAATGCTCTTGGAAGTATTCAATGTGCATGCGCTTAATTACATAGCCTCAAATATATTTAAAAGAACACAGAAATACCAGAAGATATTGGAAAAAAAGATGGACAGATCCAGCCTGCTTTGGAAAAGAACCACGCTCTGCTCATTTTATATAGATAAATTGGCTGTAAAGCCAGACGAGGACAGGTTGAGAATGGAACATTATTAAGCCTATCATTCCTATGAGAATAAAAGGAAAACATGTGAAAGAAGATATTACAAAACAAATGTAGGAATGCAGAGATAATATTTACTATACTTCTAGACCAAGTGGAGTTACTCAAATATTTCAGGCTTAATCTGTTAACATGATTCATGATACTCATTCCTCCTACTTTGTGGGTTTATATTTGGCTGTTTAGTTGTCCCAAGACCAGTTGTTGAAAAGACTATTCTTTCACCATTGGATTGTCCTGGCACCCTTGCTGAAAAGGAGTTGACCATAAGTGTGTGGGGTTACTTCTGCGTTCTCAGTTCTGTTCTATTGATCTATACATCTATACATTTCCAGAGAGATCCTGGAGGTGGAGGAATGGGAACTGGGAAAGGCACAGTGGAGACGTCTAAGGTTCTAGCAATGTTTCCTAAGGTTCTAGCAATATCCTAAGGTGGATAGCATATACCCTGAAGTTCACTTTATTTCTTCCTGATTTTAATGATCACTTATGTTACATTATATGTCTTTTAAGTAAGCAATAAATAAGTTTTTTTTTTAAAAGCAAAAGTTAAGATATAAGGCAAAGCAGATAATTGATTATCTCCTTTAAGGATAAGCCACAGCAAATGTCTGCACCGTGCACCTTTCTGGAGAGGGGCTATAACAATCAAGATTTGCCTCTGCACCTCAGGGTTCCATCATCCTAAACAAGTCATTCTTTCCCACTTCTGAGTCCACCATCTCCAGCTCTTGTTGCTTTGGGGTGGGAATATGTGCGCAGAGCCACTAATGGTTGTTCCATTTGCTTCTTTAGAGACCTGGTCCTTGCCATTTAGTGAACGTTTCACTTGGTTCTAGGCGCATGAATTTGGTGTGCCCTAGACATCTTTCCTCCCCACCCCCAAGTTTCTAGCACAGATACAGGTGCTTCCTATTTTTCAAATGTTTGTTTAGTCTTTTCAAATGTAGTTTAATACCTGGATTCAAGCCACCATGTCTACTTAGAAATCTTATTGCTATGGTTTGAATGGACAGGAAGACTTTCTAAGACTCTTGTTTAGAGATTGGTGCTATAGCTCTGGAACTGTCAACCCAAATGATGCTGCTGCCGACTCACCCTTCATTACAGGCGTAATTAACAGTTGATCCAAACCGGGCATCTCCGTTTACAGTCATTTTGCCATTGGCGGGTTCTGGAGGAGTTCCACATGATCTCCCTATGGGGGAGAAGCAGAATTGGGGGATTGGGTATAGAACAAGCCGAACTTCTCTCAGTAAGCACATAAGGTCCCAACCTGGATGGAGTTTACTGAAAAGTATTTGTGGTTCCGCAGATTTTGCCATCTCAGAGAAACTAACACGACTGCCTGAGAGTCAGCCACCTACTAAGCTCCACTTCCAAAAACAGACCTCCCCTCCTCATTGATCTTTTCCCTGTGTTGTGCACCCCAGAAAAATGCAAACTTTACTTTTTACCAAAGTGGTTATTTTGTCATCCAACCAGCTTAAATCAGAGATCTCGAAATCGGGGTTCTCTCCCCACCTACTTTTTTCTTCCCTTTTCTGAGTCATTGGTGATGTAGTTTCAATGGTGACAATGGGAAACTCCTACTGAATGGAGCTTTTTCCTGCATTGTGTCTTGTGAAGGTCATTTCTCATGAAGTGACCTTGTAATGGAGGTGCCAGCAAGTCAGAGCAGTAAGAAGGTGTGACAGAAAGTATAATTGTCACATGTACTCTACTCGAGGCAAACATAATAATCGTACGTGTCTTAGTTCCAAAATCTGAACAATTGATTCAGCTCTACGGATGTCTGATTGACACAGAGTTCTCAGTCCAGAGGTACTTACGCTGACACTTGTTTTCGGCACTTGACCAGACCGAGTTGGGTAGGCAGGTGATAAAGAACCCTCTCCCATAGTAACCAGGGCGGCACTCATACTTCAGAAATGTCCCGATGGGAAACTCATACTCGTCCGTAGCATTTGCCAGCTTGGCAAATGGAAGGTGTTCCGGGGCTTTGCACCGACCTGGAGAGCAAGACCATAGTGACATCCAAGTTAATGGAGAAACTTCTATTTACTTCCTCTTTTTCTCCAGTGTGCTTCATAGATGCGATCAATGAAACAGAACACCTTAATAATGTTGAAATGTTTGCATCTCTTACTAGTGAACATAGAGATGAG